CAGGTTTACCCTTACCACAATATACATGACAAAGGACATCTTTGTGTGGAAATTTGTTAAAAAGTTACTAAGAAATAGACAGCACCATCCTGATAAACCTGTTGGTGCAATGGAGAAGGACACTTGGCTCAGGAGCTGTGACTTAAATACATATATCTATAAAATAAATCACTTTGATCCCCAAAATAATCTTTAACCCAGTTACTGACTTTTAAGGTTAAATAAAAAGTGTAGGTATATATTACAAAAAGATACGGCAAAGCTGTTTAGATCTTAATATTTTTTTTAATAAATTATGAGCAAGTATTGACAGCAGTAGAGGTAAGTTGGTTGAGCTCTAACAAAAGGTCCTGTTGAACACTCCTGCAATGCAGCTGCAAAGAGCAGAAGAAATTGTGTGAGTGGAAGTAAATATCTAAATGGTATGTGTAGCAATAAGGAAAGATCTCAAGTTTTCTGTAGGGTCTGTACTTCCTAGAACAGGACAGGGCATGTGCATAAGTTACCTGTGATCCTTCTCATACTGTTAGTAACTGTTAGATTTCACTAAACAGAAAAAGCACCCAGAAGCCGCTTAAATGTCCTACAGAGCTGTCTAATGTAAAATCTTTATCAACAGGCTGGCCAACCTCATGAGGAAAGCTCTGAAGTAGGAACGCTGGGAAGGGGGAATTACAACCCACAATTAAGTAGTGGACAGGGGTCCAAAGTAGAGGGTACAGGGTGACAGGAACAAAACAGACCTCAGAAGAAAAAAAAAAAAAAATTGGCAGAAGGAGGCAGGAAGGTACGTGCACAAATTCATGCAGCATGAAAAGCAAGCAGGAAGAATTATAGCTCTCCATGAGTTCACAGAACTACAACATTGTTGGAATAATTGAGACATGGTGAGCCAGCTTGCATGACTGGAGCACTGCAGTGGATGTGTAGCAGCTCTACAGGAAAGTCACGGAGGGAGGCAGAGAAGAGAGGCTGCACTCTCTGTTAAAGAGTGGCTTGAATGTACGGAGCTCTGATACAGAGCAGGTGACAGGCTGGCTGAGAGCTTGTGGGTCGGGAAAGGCCAGCAGGGATGACGACATGGTTGGAGCATGTTACAGGCCACCAGATCAGGGTAAGGAAGGAGCTAAAGGCTTCTCTAAACAGTTCGAGAAAGTCTCTGACTCACAGACTCTAGCACGTATGGGGGAACTTCTGACATCCGCTGGGAAGGCAACACAGCAATTCAAGCAGTCAGGAAGATTTCTGGGCAGCGTCAGGGACAACTTCTTCACACAGGCTACCGGATGCACCAGCAAGGGCTGATGTGCAGCTGTACCTGCTGCGCACTAACAGAGAAGGACTGGATGGGGATGTGGTCACCAATGGCTGCCTTGGCTGTAGTGACCAAGAAACAGCTCCAGATCCTGAGAGGAGTGATGAAGGTAAACATCAGAGTACAGGCCCTGCCCTTTCAGGGAGCAAAATTCCTCTTTTTCAGGAAGATGGTAGGCAGGATCTCATGGGAGACAGTTCCAAAGAGCAAAAGGAGCTCAAGAGAGCCATCAGGCCCTTAAGGAGGACTTTCTCCAAGCATGAGCACAGGCCATCCCCACAGTCAGGAAAACAGGCAGGCAAACCAGAAGATCAGCCTGGCTAAGCAGGGACCTCCTGACAGGGCTCCAGTGCAAAAACTGCTTATACTAGATGTGGAGGCAGGGACAGGCTACAATGGAGGAATTTAGGAACAGTGCCTGCGTGGGTAGGGATGGTGTCAGGAAAGCCAAGGCTCAGACTTGCAAAGGACATCAAGGGCAACAAGAGCTGCATCTGCTGCTACGTTAACTGTAAAGGAATAAAGGAGGAAAATACGGGCCCATTCCTGAATTGCGGGGGTGATTTAAGGATATCGGACAGAGAAGGCTTAGTTACTTGATGTGTTCCTTGCCTCAGTCTTCATTAACAAGGTCTCACAGGCTCTGTGCTTAGTCAAAGAGCTCAAGAAAAACTACCGCAAGTCAGGGATTACTTGAGAAAACTTGATCCACACCAGTCCATGGGAATTGATCAGATGTATTCAAGGGTGCTGTGAGAGCTTGCTGATGCCACTGTGAGTGCTATCACCTTTAAAAGGCTATGGAGACTGGGGAAGTCCCTGACAACTAGAAAAAGGTGCACTCATTTAAAAAGCACCAAAAGGTCAATGTGCAGATCTACAGGCTGGTCAGCCTCACTTTCACCCCTGGGAGAATCATGGAGCTGGTCCTCTCGGGACACATTTCTGGGCTCGTGAAGGAGAAAGTGGTTGGGAACAGCCAGCATACATTTAACTAAGGGCAAATCATGCCTACCCAATCCAACTGCCTTCTATAATGATGAAATAACTAGATTTATGGATGAAGGGAAAGTAGTATTTTTATACCTTGTCTTTAGCAAGGCTTTGACACCCTCTCCTACATTATTTCTGTATCCAGGTTAGAACATGATGGCTTGAATGGGTGAACTAGATGGACAAGGAATTGGCTGGATGGCCACACCCAAATAATTACAGTCAATGGCTCAATGTCCAAGTGGAAACCAGTAATGAGTGGTGTCCCTCAAGGGTCCGCACTGGGACCAATACTATTTAATATCTTCATCAATGACATAGTGGGATTGAGTGCACCCTCAGCAAGTTTGCAGATCATCAAGTGCATCTTGGTGTGATCAGCGGTGCAGTTGATACACTTCAGGGAAAGGATGCCATCCAGAGGGACCTTGACAGGCTTGAAAAACGAGCCCACATGCACCTTATGAAGTTCAACAAGACCAAGTGCAAGGTCCTGCACCTGGGTCAGGGCAATTCCCAATATCAATACAGGGTGGGGGATGAATTGAGAATAGCCCCGTGGAAAAGGTCTTGGATATACTCATGGACAAAAAAATAGATATGAGGTGGCAATGTGCACTTGCAGCCCAGAAAGCCAACCGTATCCTGGGCTGCATCAAAAGAAGCGTGGCCAGCAGGTCGAGGGAGGTGATTGTCTCCCTCAACTCCGCTCTTGTGAGACTCCACCTGGAGTACTGTCCCCAGCACAAGGAAGACATGGACCTGTTAGAGCAGGTCCAGAGGAGAGCCATGATGATCAGAGGGCTGGAATATCTTTCCTATGAAGGAAGGCTGAGAGAGTTGGGGTTGTTCAGCCTGGAGAAAAGGCAGCTTCAGGAAGACCTTACTGTGGTCTTTCAATACATAAAGGGGGCTTATAAGAAAGATGGGGACAGACTTCTTAACAAAGCCTGTAGTGACAGGACAAGGGGCAATGGTTTTAAACTGAAAGAGGGTAGATTTAGGTTGGATATAAGGAAGAATTTTTTTTACAATGAGGGTGGTGAGATGCTGGAACAAGTTGCCCAGAGAAGTTGTGGATGCCCCATCACTGGGAGTGTTCAAGGTCAGGTTGGATGGGGCTTTGAGCAACCTGATCTAGTGAAAGATGTCCCTGCCCATGGCAGAGGGGCTGGACTAGGTGATCTTTAAAGGTCACTTCCAACCCAAACCATGCTATGATTCCATAGATAAGTAAAGAACTGTTTGGATGATTGGGATCAGATGGTAGTGGCTAACAGGTCATACTCGACTTGGGTGGCTCAGACAAGTGGAGTACTACAAGGGTCTGTGCTGGAACTGGTCCCATTTAACATCTCCTTCAGTGGTCTGGAGGAGGGGATAAAGTGCAGTCTTGTCAAGTTTGCAGACGACACCAAATTGGGGAGAATCAGTCAACATGCTAAACAGCTGGGCTGTCAGAGAGACCTAGACAGCTTAAAATTAAAAAAGGACAAATGTAAAGCTCTGGGAAGGAGGAACCACTTGCAATGATATAAGCTAGGGTCTGGCTGGCAGGGGAGCAGTTCAGCTGAAAAGAAGCAGGGAATCTCGGTAAGCAGCAAGCCGAACATGAGCCAGCAGTGTCCCCTGGCAGCAAAGGTGGCCAACAGCATTCTGGGCTGTATTAACAAGAGCTTAGCCAGTAGATTGAGGGTGATGATTATCCCCCTCTACTCAACACACATTAGACTGCATTCAGAATACTGCATCCAGTTTTGGACCCCTTCAAGAAGGTAGACATCAGTAAAACTGGAGCAAGTTCAGTGGAGGGCTACCAAGATGGTCAGAGCACTTGTACTGTGAGGAGAAGCTGAAGGCACTGTGCTTGTTCAAGCCTGAAGAAGAGTAGGCTTTGGGAGGGTACCTAACAGCAGCCTTCCTGTACCTACAAGCTGATCATTGAGAAGATGGAGACACGTTCTTCATAGTAGTGCCTGGTGGGAGAACAAGAGAGTAATGGGCATAAGTTGAAACAAGAGGGAAGATGAAGGGGAAAGTTTCTGATCACTGGTTTTCCTTGTAAAACTTTCATGATTCTTTACACATACCAAGTTCAAAATCAATTGAAATGGCGTTCAGCTTTCATTAACAACCAGGATGCAGAAGTCATAGAATCATAGAATCATAGAATCATAGAATCATTAAAGGTTGGAAGAGACCTCCAAGATCATCGAGTCCAACCATCAACCCAACAACACCATACCCACTAAACCATGTCCCTAAGCGCCTCATCTACCCGTCTTTTAAATACTTCCAGGGATGGTGACTCAACCACTTCCCTGGGCAGCCTGTTCCAATGTTTAACTACTCTTTCAGTAAAGAAATTTTTCCTTACATCCAATCTAAACCTCCCCTGGCGCAACTTGAGGCCATTTCCTCTCGTCCTTTCGCCAGTTACTTGGGAGAAGAGACCGACACCCACCTCGCTACAACCCCCTTTCAGGTAGTTGTAGAGAGCAATGAGGTCTCCCCTCAGCCTCCTTTTCTCCAGGCTAAACAACCCCAGCTCCCTCAGCCGCTCCTCATAAGGCTTGTTCTCCAGACCCCTCACCAGCCTCGTTGCCCTTCTCTGGACTCGTTCCAACACCTCAACATCCTTCTTGTAGTGAGGGGCCCAAAACTGAACACAGTCAGTTCAGTCATGAAACAGACTCCATAGCTTGATGTTTTGAAAACATTAATACATGGTATTCTTTTCTCTTTGATTCTTTTTGAGCTTCAGTGTATATATGACCTCAGTTTTCAAGTTTTCTTTCCAGTCACAAGCAACCTAAAAACATACCCTTATTCTTTAGAAGCGAGTAGGTTGACATTCTCTTAGAATAACATGAAGCAGAAGCTAAGACATAAAAAAGAAACCTAAAAGTGCAAAAAATATCAAAAGTTCAAGGAAAAAAAACCCAAACCACTGCTAATTAGCAGCAGCTTTGTTCCAACACAACAACAAACTGAATTGTAGCTTTCTCACAAAATCAACCACCATCAGGAGATGATCAGTTTGCGAGTCTTCTGCCAGCTCCTGGAGATAGCTATTTTGGAGAATATTTGTCTGGAGCATTGAGTTCCTGCTGGAGAACTGAGACTAGCAAATGCAAACTTTCATCCATCTGGAACAGCTGAAGGATGAACTGTCTTTCTTCTGATTGTAAAAATGTACTGATCCAAAATTGCATAGAAAGCTGATTACCTTTGGATTGATCCACATTTATGCAAATGGGTATGACTTTGTTAATCTCTAAATACCAATTATAAAAAAAGGCCTTAGCTCTTACATTTTGTGTTAGTAGAGCACTGTTTGTTAAAACTGGATACAAAACAATACAAAAGATTTTGCCCATGATTCAGCCTATTTATCTTCACGCAGTGACACTAGAACAGGAGGCTGTCCCTTCTGAGGAAAGAAAAATAGGCACTGGAAAAAGCTCAGCTAGTCTTCAAAGCACTTCTTCATGGATGACTTCAGTGCTGGTGGAAAACCTCCAAGAGAGAAGATAGCAGCTCCTTCACCGTTGAATTCTACTGCTTCTCTTCCATTGTTGTTTGGTCCACAAAGCAATTATTTGCTTATGATATAAGATTTGAGGCAAAAGAAAAAGAAAAGCACACAGGTAAGTTATTATGTCTTCTCTTCTAGAAATTGAACTAGTTATACAAGAATACTGCAGGCTTTAAATACTAATAAAGTGTGAAGATGAATTAAGACATTGTCACATGATCCAAAACAATCCAATTACAGCAGCTTCGTGACCCGTGGTATCTGATAGCCACTAGCTGTTTTACCCAAATTATCTGTTTATGGTTAGACATGTTCCTCTGCAACTGGAGCAGGTTAAGAACATTACCACCTGCTAAGCAGCTGGTAACCTATGAGGCTGTTCTGACTCCATGACTTTGGATCACATAACTAGGCACTTCAGACACCACTTTTATGCAAAGGTTCAGGTCTATAATCTTAGTATCAGCTGTGCACCACACATGCATGTGATGCTGCTGCTATTTCTTCCACACAGTAATGCCAGGTGCTTTTGGAGGTTTCTCTTTTGAGGATTGCAAATAGAGCTCTGATTTGACAAGCAAGGAAACTGAAGGCAAAGGGAAGTTACAGTGCAGGAAGTTAAAATCCAGCAAGTTCAAGACTACGTGCCCAACCTAACTCACTGCATGCAACATGCATCAACCTCTAAGCATACACAATAAAGCATACACAAGGCCCACTTACACTGGTGTTTCTGTCTTGGTGCACACAGAGCAACAGTATAAGGGGAACCAACTGGATATGCCAAGGCACTGTGTCATTCAGTCTTTGCTCCTATTTTGATAGCACTACCCCTCCCTTCCACTAGTCTCTAGCTCAGCATCACTCCAATCTAGAATAAGATGCCAGGAGACAGTCTAGGAGAGCAGCGTATTGTGACACATGGAACCCATCTCTGCAGACAATGAGAAAAAGAAGGATGTCCCTTCTCTGGTTCTCACAAGGTCCCTGGATAGGCCTGATGTATTTTTATGATTTGTATCCTTAAAATTCAAACAGGTTTACTGCTTTACCTACAGCTGACTTACGCCGGCTTGATGACAAGACTAAAGAACGTGATCAAGAAGCCAGCCTAGGGGGGCTGCTATTTGCTTGTGTCTATGGAGTGAGAGGGCCTGAATATGAAGTTAGTGTTCTCCTCTCATTTTATAGCTGTGGTGATAAGCATCAGGCTTCACACTCCCCACAGAACATGCAAAATGTTCTGTCCCCACACAGCTCGCAAACAGCACCAAAGAAAGCACAGCTACAGCTGATGTCTTGACATGGCTTAACAACATAACTATTTCAGATGCTAAACCTTTAAGCATGAAATAGGAGCACAGTTTAGCCAAGTAAGTCGCCCTTGCAAAGCGGCTCGTCAAAGGCCATGCATAACACTGAAGACCAAATGAAGCCAGTCAGTGGCAACCAACTCCTTGGCAACCAACAGGATCTGACTCAGTTATTACAAGATACCACAGCTTCCTCTCCAGCTATACAGCCCTGTTTCAAGTCTGTTTCCTTGTTTCATGACTGTTTCATTGGCAGTTTCTTCTGCATCACAGAGTCAGGTTTCTGACACTCAGTCCTAACTCCCTCCCACCCTTCCACTCATCCATGTTTTCTCACATTTGGAGATTTTTTCCTCTTTTCAACATTGTCTTCAGCAAATATCTGAATGCAATTGCTTGGCTAGTAATTCAACAGAAGAATCAAACCTGGCAGAACAGAAAACTCTGCAGCAGTAAGGTGCCACTAGCTTCCACATTCCTGTGCATTTTGAGAATCTTTAAATGGATTATCTGCATTAGCAGTCTCCAAAGTGGGGCGTGCACAAGGCAATCCACTGCGGTGCAGGAAGAAAATATTTTCGCACCATTAACAAAATTAAAAAATTAAAATACTGTTTACTTCATCCTTATCTCATCCTTTTTTAAATTTCTATTTTTGTGCATGTTTTATAATGTACATAATACTTGAGTACGGTCACACATGTATATAATTTATAAATATACATAAATTGGGTGTGTATGTTCAAAACATTTTACTGATGGAGTGCACAGTCAAAAAAGTTTGGAGACCACTGATCTACAACACAAAAAGCAGAAACCAGTATGAAATGCCCATAGTCACACCACTTAACTAAGGGCTGTATGACAGACAAAACAACATTCTTCCTCTTCTTTTGAGGAAAGGAAAATTATTTTCAGTCAATCTGCAAACTTCATTTCTTATGAAACAAAAATGCTTTGATACACACTGGCTTATAGTACGCATTTTCTAAAAGCTTTTTAAATTTTCTTTTTAAACATTTAAGTCAGATAAAAAATTTCAAAAAAAGAAGTTTCTGGTGACTCAGTTAATAAATCTGGAAACAAAACCTTTCATAGAATCATTGAATATCTCAAGCTGGAAGGGACCCATAAGGATCATTGAGTCCCACTCCCTGCTCCTCACAGGACTACCTAAAGCTAAACCATATGACTAAGAGTGTCATCCAGACACTCCTTGAACTCCGACAGACTTGGTGCCATGACCACTGCCCTGGGGAGCCTGTTCCAGTGGCCAACCACCCTCTCAGTGAAGAACTTTTTCCTAATGTCCAGTCTGTACTGCCCCTGATGCAGCTTCATGCCATTTCCTCGTGTCCTACCGCTGGTCACCAGAGAGAGGAGATCAGCGCCTCCCTCTCCGCTACCCCCTTGAGGAAGTTGTAGACTGCGATCAGGTCACCCCTTTCATTTCACAAATAGCAAAACAATTTTTTCCATACATTCCTTTCTTCCCTCATTCAGTTTATTTGCTACAGGTGACCTAATTTCACATCCCTCCAAAACTTTATTTCTTCATAGATGTTTTATTCTCAGTTAAACTATGGCTGTACTACAGCATGCTCAAAGTGCAGCAAAGCTTTACAGTGTGAGAAAGTAACAGCTTCATGCAATACTTATTTCACCTGCGCACCTCAGCCTGTCCTATTACTGCAATGGCAC